TGCCCGACCTAACCATCGGGGATCCTCCGTGGGCGTTCCGTGGCTGCTGGGAGCTGTCTTGAGTTGGCTTGGTGGCCTCGTGGAGGCGCGTTGGAAGTCGTCTTGAGCCATCTTACAGCCGGGTCGCTGAAGAAGGAACCCTTTGCGTGGTGGAGGGGCTCAGTGTTCCTCGATCGTTTGATAGGCTGTCCCAGGTCTCCTCAGGTTTTCCATGGGAGATCGAAGCTTCACCTGTGGATAAGCAGGGGGCCTCGTTCCTACGTTATGGTTCCTTCTCAGCGCTTCGACCGTATGCGGTTTCTGCTCGTCCCGTTTCTCAAGCAGTGGCGAAGCGTCCTGGCTTGCCTATAAACAAGCCCGCAAACAAACGTTTTGAGAACCTCTTGGAGGTTGCACGAGGTGTTCCGAGCACATTTCTGGCTGGAGCCGTCTTGTTTCCACACGTCTGCTTCATGATCTAATTATGTTGCTTGTGTTATTAAACATTGCTTGGTTCGAAGAACATGGCGTGGTGTGCCTGTAGAAATGCCGGACGGTCGGTTCCTGCTCAAGTTTCGTTGTCATCCTCCCCTCTCGCTTCCCCCCTTCGTCTTCCTGTGCTTGTTTCTTTACGGCGGAAAGCCATCCCAAGAACTTGCCTTGGGTGTCGATGGTTTTGGTATGGAGAGCGTGATGTTCCACACCAAAAGTCAATGCACGTCCTGGGGTCTCAGGGCTGGGTTTCTTGGTCGAGCTTCTACTCGTGTATTATCCTGACGAGGGGGTGGTGGCGGGTTGTAGCTTTGCCACCACCCTCAATAGGGTTTTCGCGATGAATGCTGTCGGCTCCATCCCCTTGGCCCCCAATGCTGATCTCGACATTTACGTGGACGAGTCGGGGCTCTCCTCTACGTTGCGCAGGCAGAAGATCATGGAGACGCGCTGGCGCTGCATGATGCGATCACGTTCATGCCTGGCTGCAGCGTTGCTCTGGATAAGGTGTACACGGTCTCCTCGTGCATGCCAGTCGCTGAGGCGCTGAGCAAAAAGCTTTGGCACCTGTCGGGAAAGATGGGGGACTCCACTGTCAACTTGGGGAGTTTTTTCTGCGGGAAAAGCGTTGAGGTTCAAGGGCCGAGCGGGAGCAATGAAGGAACGCACGGCCAAAATTGTTCGGAGCGCCGAGCATCTCAAGAACTTGGCTTGTAACCTGGGCCGCAAACGTTTGCGGTGAGATTGCCGGGTCAGCGACAACGATTTGTTGTTGATGAGAAGGGCTGCAATTTCCCAGGGTATACCCTCGCTGCGTGCCGTGCCACCTCCTATGATCCGACGTAGCGTGCTGCCACGGCTCCTGTCTTTCTCCGATGGAGCAAGGAAGGTCGGGCTGTCCAGACGGGGGTGTTTCAAGGTTGCCCCCCCCCGCCTGCCGAGCTCTGGGCGACGTGGGCCGAGCTGTGGGCCAGACCCCGGCATCACGAATGGGTCACGGTGGCGTGCCCCATCCGTGCCTGCGGAATTCATTTGGTGAGGCCTCATGGCGCCTTCGCAGAGCGGATTTCGTTCGGCAAACACTGGGATGGGCCCCGAGTGTCCTGGATGATTTCGTTCCAGATTTCGATGTCAATGTCGCGCGGATGTTTGTTGGCCAGGCATGAAGGCTACAACAACTCCACGTGAAATTCACTTCGTTTTTCGCTCGCCGTTTCGGGGTCTTACGTTGACAAAAGTGCACGCGCAAATCCGCTGCAGCACGTCTGTAAGGTCGGTGCAGAGGCAGGCTAGGCTGACACATGCCCAGCTGCAGGACTATGGTTGACGTCCGCGGGCGTTCGGATGCAACTCCTGGGAGGTTTAATTCTGTTGCTGCCCTGGTCCGAAATCCGGCTTCAGTCCGGCTTGATCCCGCTCAATCCGGCTTAATCCCGCTTAATCCGCGGCCTAATCCGGCGTAGCAGCCCCCCATTGGGGCTCTTTTTTCCTTAATCCTTCCGACGAAGACCTCCCAGTAGTTGCCGCCAAACACGGTATGACGTACCTCTGGGGATGGCCTCGCCCGGGTTTGGGGGCATCTTCTGGCGCGAGGCCCTGTTCCGTTCCTAAGGGATCTGAGGGGACAGGTGGGGGGAAGGGGCCAGACTGTGCTTAGACGTTGCCAGGGCTGCCCTGTCGTCCAAAAAGCACAACCCTTGCAAGAAAGGTTTGGTTCGAGCCCCTGCGTGTAATGCCATTGGAGTCCTGCCAGGGCTGTCGAGTGCGGGCATGGTTTGTGCGAGAAGTGTGTGCGTTGTGGAGTGAGGAACACGCTTCATCACCGCCTTTGAGTCTGCCTTCGCTGTGCGCTGTGACCGCATTCGCACTGAGGTTGTGGACGCCTCGATCTGAGAAACGTTTCGGGAGAGCCTCTTCTGCCATGGGACCTTCGCCCAGCCCGCCGACTCCCTGCCACGGCCGTGCCCGGAAGGTCAGGTCCAGTTTGCTTGGCGCAGCGATCAGCTGGAGGGTCCCGAAGGCCCCGAGG